TCCGGCCTCGGCCGCTGCCGTCGCTCCAGCACCGCCGCCCTTACCCCTCCCAGTGCCGCCGCAAAACCAGCCCGCGGCCGCCAAGTGAGCTCAATTCTGCGCGACAGTGCGTGCGCGCGCGCGCGGAAGGACGGCGACGTAAATTACGGCAGTGTCTTGCGTACGTGGTAGTCGTCTGAGGCTTCAGTTCGCACGTGGCCCCCGCAGAGTCCCCGTATTCCCGCTGCGCGTGCGGCGTCTGCCGTTTCTACAGCCAGCATGAAGCGGCCGAGTGAGTGGGGTTGGGAGGCCGAAGTGAAGAGAGAGACCCAATCTGGCGGTCGCTCTTCTGCGCCTTGGTTTCTGTGGAGATGGGAGTGAACTGTGGGTAGGCCAACGCTCGGTTCCCGCGTGGAACTGAGGCGGGGGAAACTGACTAGATTTTAAACGTGGACCCGTTGTGCGCAACAAAGGCGTTCCTCGAAGATGGACAACATCTGCCCAGATTTTTATGGGGAAGCAGCATCTGAGCCTGGTTTCATGTCCACCGTTTCCCCTTGTGCATTAGCCGAGAGCCATTCCCAATGGCATTCGCTCGTCCTCTCCTCCTCGGTTGTGATTGATGGTTTATTTTTGTTTGTGTTTTGTGTTTTTGTGTTTTGGTACCGGAGATCGAACTTGGGACCTTGTGCTTGAGAGACAAAAGGCGGAACCACTGAGCTGCATCCCCAGCCCTGGTTTTTATTTTTTTAAGTGAGGTTTACATTTACTAAAGTTTGGAAAAGAAACCGCTTTCCACCTGGGCATGGTGGTGCACACCTGTAACCCCAGCACTCCAGGGAGGCTGAGAAAGGAGGATTGCCTCGAGTTCGAGGCTAGCCTGCACTACATAACGAGAATGGGCCGCTGGAAGAGCTTGATTGGTGATTCTTAACCCAGAGTGGTTGTCACTTTGGAGATCTGGCGTCTGTGTGCAATTCCACTGCAATATGAGAAGAGTAGGCGTAGAGAGGCCGCTCTATCCTGAATCTTTTGACTGGGATTTGAAAGTGCCATATTTTTTTTTTTTATTAGATACTTCATAGCATTAACACTAGGTTTTTTTTTTTTCTTTTATAGAGTTAAAGAAAGCGAGTAAACGAATGACCTGCCATAAGCGGTATAAAATTAAAAAAAAGGTAAGTCTGTCTTGAGAGAACTATACCACCAAATGCATTACTAACCTGATTTCTGACCCTTCTTTTTTTTTACTGGAAGTCTAGATTAATTTAGGGATTGAGTAGACCGTGGCATCAGGAGTGCAGCTGTGGAGAAGTAACACATTCTGTAAACTTAGATTAACATAATTTCTGCAGTGATATTTTCTTGCTGTTTTAAATGTCATGTACATTTTCTGTGTATGATCCCAATTAAAGCTTCTTTTTTCAAGGACATTTTACATACATAACTGCAGCCAGTTTGATTTCTTAACTTAAATTCTATTTAAGTAGAGCCAAGTGTGTGGTACAGGCCTGTAATCTCAGCACATGGGCGGCTGACGCAGGAGATCTCTGTGAGTTCGAGACCAGCCTGGGCTATATAGTTAGAGCAGTCTGAACTATATAGTGAGACCCTGTCTCAAAAAAACAAAACACAATTCTATTTAAGTAGAAAAGAAAGTATTTTCCAAAGGAACATAGTTTTTTTTTTCCTTTTTTAAAAAACAGGTTCGAGAGCACCATCGAAAATTGAGGAAGGAAGCCAAAAAACGGGGTCACAAGAAGCCTAGGAAAGACCCAGGAGTTCCAAACAGTGCCCCCTTTAAGGAGGCTCTTCTTCGGGAAGCTGAGCTAAGAAAACAGCAGGTAGGTTAGCCAAAACTTTGATAAGTGGTGTGGTGTAGGTATGTATTTTAAAAGTAAGATAATAGCATCACTCGCTGGTTCTTTTCTCTTATGGATTGGACACAGCTTGAAGAATTAAAACAGCAGCAGAAACTTGATAGGCGGAAGGAACAAGACCTGAAAAGAAAGCTTGAAACTGATCCTGATGATGAGCCATCTAATGTTGAATCTGTAGAGGTAGGATTGCATCTCTTTAAAGATGAGAGAGGGAGCTGGGCATGGTTGTACATATCTATGATAACAGCACTCCAGGAGGCTGAAACAGAAGTATCACAATTTTGAGCCCAGGCTGTGTAATTTAGTGAGGCAAAAAAAAAAAGCCCTGAGCATATAGCTCAAGAGCCTCTTGGAAGAAGACTGATTTCAGACTCTTTAAAAACAAGAAACTTCCTGAACCCTAATCAGCTATGGAACATGTGAAGATACAAGGTATAATTACTAGTATAATTTTGTTTTCCCCTTATCTTTATATTTTCTAGGAATTTGGACAAAGCAAACCTAAGAGAGCCAAACTGAGCAAACAGAATCCGAAGACAGTACATTGTCAGGAACTTAAAAAGGTACCTTCATCTAGGTCAGTGTCTAAAAATGGTAATGAGATTTAAAAGTAGTCAAGTGGAAGTTCTGGAAACTAAAGTGAGAAGGGTGATTATGTTCTTGGTGTTTTTGGCTTCACATCACTATCCCCTCACACTTTTTCTAGATGTAAGTAGAATCTTACTGTGCCTATCGGCACCTCTTGTGAAAGCCAAATGGGCTTTTTAAACCATACAAATCACTGTGGTTAGACTGTGTATTTATTAGACAGTTCTGGTTTGGGTTTTTTGTTTTGATGCAGGGTCTTCCTATGTATTTCAGGCTGGCCATCAGCTCTTGGTGATTCTTATTCAACCTCCCAAGTGCTAGGATTATAGGCATGCACCACCACACCCAGCTCTTGATAGTTCTGGGTTTTCTTTGTTTTGTTTTGTTTTTTGTACCAGGTATCAAACTCAGGTCCTTGTGCTTGCCAGGCAGGTGGTGGAACCACTGAGCTAAATCCCTGGTCCGATACTTCTGTTTTTAAAATCCATATTGATCAGAGACTGCTGAGCAAGCTTGTGTTACCTTTCTGTGTGAGAAATGATGAGCATTTCGTAATTCTTCATACCATGTGAAGACATGAGATCCAACTCTGAGCTCGCCTCCTTGCTAGGTAGATAATGCTAGTAGGCTCATACTAAGGGCATTCCCAGAATAAGAGATACTGTTACAATTGTTCTTCCTTGACAGGTGATTGAGGCCTCAGATATTTTGCTAGAGGTATTGGATGCCCGAGATCCTCTTGGTTGCAGGTGTCCTCAGGTAGAAGAGGTGATTGTCCAGAGTGGACATAAAAAGCTGGTACTCATATTAAATAAATCAGGTGAGCAAAAGGGATGCCCCATACCTTCTTTGTTCACTGGTGAGGTATGAGGAAAACATCTGAGTCAGTCTGATTGTAACTGAAGACTGATAAGATCCAACTCTGACCTCAGCAAAGCCAGTACATATGCGCTGTGGTTGCCAAAGACAGTGCTGGGTGGGTAGTTGGGAGGTGGTGATTTCTAGAATTGATTCAACTGGTTTTTCTATGGTTTTTGTTGTTTTATGCTTTTCCATTTAGTACTTAACTGCTGTTTTAAAATGCAACCTCTTTTATTTTTTGCTACCATGGATTGAATGTGTGTCTTTGTGCTTGTGAGGCAGGAGGCAGCACCACTGAGATAAATCCCTGGCCCTTAAAATGCAACTTCTGTAACCCACCTTACTATGCAATATATTTTGCATAGGAAGTGACGAGTGTACCATATTGTTTCCCCTACTTTCTACACAACAGTATTTTTAGTATAGGAACAAGATAAATTGTAGTGTATATGGTAGAGTGTTTACATGAAATAGTTACTTACAGATTGGATCTGAGCAGCAGGAAGAGGAAAACCTAGAACACAGACTTGTGAAGCAGAAAGTAGGAACAGGATTGAAAAATCATTGCTAAGTTTCAGAAAACAAGTGGCTGCTAGCTTGATAGAAATATGAAAGAGAAGATAATTGAAATTTCTTAAGACAGGCAGCACAGTAGGAAGTTTGCCCTTCCATTTTCCACTTAAATCCTTTTGTATGAACTAGGAAAAGGCAAATGAGTGAAGTCCTTTTTATTTATTTTTTTTTTTTTGGTACCAGGGATCAGACTCAGGTGCGGTGCCACGAGCTAAATCTCCAGTCCTAAAATTTTTAGTTTTAAAAAGATTTTTTAAACTCATTTCAACAGAATGACCAAGTTGAGGCTTGTGTTGTTTTAAATTTCTATCAGATCTGGTACCAAAGGAGAATTTGGAGAATTGGCTAAATTATTTGACAAAAGAATTGCCAACAGTGGTTTTCAAAGCCTTTACAAATCAGAAGGATAAGAGGAAGATGACCAAGGTACACTTTAATGATAATGGTGGGAAGTGTGGTTCTTTCAGATTTTGAATGGTTGAAATATGATGAGTATATATAAGGAGTTGATAAAAAAGTGAAAAATAACAAGATCCAACTCTGATTTCATCCAAAGATCATCTGAAGGGAGATAGTCCAGTGCTTGGGTTTTATGTATTGTCAGAATAATTAAACTAACATATTTGAAATTTTAACACATGAAGATAAAGAAGAAAGCTGTTTCATTCAAACGTAAAGGCTGCATTGGCAAACAGTGCCTTTTGAAACTTCTTGGAGGTTTTCAAGAGACTGTTGGCAAGCCTGTCCAGATTGGAGTGATTGGTAAGTTTCAATTTATCACATTCTACCTCTTCAATTATCAAGATACTTTGCCAAGAACTTTTACATCTTAACAAAATTGTGAAACAAAGGGCTTGCTCGAATCTTTGCTCTTGTCCACTTCACCACATTACACACAAATACAACTTAAAATTTTAATTGCTGCCAGGTTCAGTTCCTTATTAAGACTAGACACTATAGGAAGTTGAGTTCTAAAAACCCTTGTAGCTGGGAGTGTGACTTATTGGTAGCGCACCTGTCTAACCACCAATAAGTACATACATAATTTCATCACTCGGGCAAGAAATGAAGCTAAGATTGGTTTTAGTGTTGATGACACTCAGATCCAAATCTGATCTTGCTGTAAATATCAGGAAGACAAAATTGAGCAGTGAAAATTTCATAATTGCCAGTAGTACATTAAATATCTTGTATCTGTGAATTTTCCCCTTGTTTTTGTAGGTTTCCCAAATGTGGGGAAAAGCAGCATCATTAATAGTTTAAAACAAGAACGAATATGTAACGTTGGTATATCCATGGGACTTACAAGGTAAATTGAACTATTATATAATTGAAGTGTTTTACTATATATGAGTTTAATTTCATTATCTTAAGTCAATTTCTTGTTCTTTAAAGTGTCAGTGAAAGGAAAAGTGATAGGCAAGGCTTAGAAAATTGATTGGAGTGGGAACAGCTGTCTACAGTTTAATTTGAAAGACAAACTAGATTGAGAAAAAAGGAAAGCTGCCTGAGACAAAGTGATGTTTTTTCTTGAACTTGGCCTTGAGAAGTAAATAGATGCTTTGCAGGTAAAATATGATTATGGTACAAGAAATAGCCTTGTTTGTTTGAACTCAGGACCTTGCGCTTGTGAGGCAGGCAGCGACACCACTGAGTTAAATCCCTGGCCCCTATAACGTATAGTTTTTCCTCTTAAGGGACTGGATATGTTGTTAGGGTTTTAGATAGCCGTGAAGCAAATGATGATAAATTGGATCTGACTCGCTGTGCTGAGTTTGTTCAATCCAACCCTGAGCTTCATCTTTGGTGTCTTACTTGCCAGATAGCCAGTGCCCAAATAATTCCATCTCTTATTTTAGGAGCATGCAGGTTGTTCCCTTGGACAAACAAATCACAGTCATAGATAGCCCAAGTTTCATTGTGTCACCACTAAACTCCTCCACTGCACTTGCTCTGCGGAGTCCAGCAAGTATAGAGGTAGTAAAGCCTCTGGAGGCTGCCAGTGCCATCCTGTCCCAGGCTGATGGTAGACAGGTAAAAGAACTCTCTCTGCTCTGTTAAATTAGAAGATCTTCAGAGTTTTATGAAAAACTGCACTATTATCATGTGAATGACAATTCCTGCTTTGCTTTTTAAAGGTAGTTCTAAAATATAATGTCCCAGACTATAAGAATTCTCTGGAATTTTTTACTCATCTTGCTCAAAGAAGAGGTCTGCACCAAAAAGGTGGAACCCCAAATGTTGAACGTGCTGCCAAATTGCTATGGTCTGAGTGGACAGGGTAAGGCTTCTTTCTGTTGGTATTTTGGTCAGTACTTAAAGGAACTGGTTTCTAACAGATCTTTTTTAATAACAGTGCTTCATTAAGTTACTATTGCCAATCCCCTACACTCTGGACTCCTCCTCCACATTTTAATGAGAATATTGTGTCAGACATGAAAAAGGGCTTTAATCTGGAAGAACTGGAAAAGAACAATGCACAAAACATACATGGTGAGTGAAACTTGTGTTTCACTGCTGTCTTCCTGTTGAAATGCTGATAGAGGTCTTACCAGTGGGGTGGGGGGCTTTGTTTCTTTTCTAGCCATCCACGGCCCGTCTTCAGCCAATAGTATACTTTTCTGGTCTTCGGGCCTGACAAATGGAATAATGGAGGAAAAAGACATACCTGAATTGCCAAAACAGAGGCAACAGGGGATACAGGAGGAAAGAGAAGACAGTGAAGATAAGGTCAGTGACCAGGAAAAGTGTTGATTGTGAAGTTGTTGATGTGTGGTGTGTGGAAAGGGGTTAAATGGGAAAAATGAGGTATTCTACAGTTTACTGAAGGAAGCCCCATACAGTTAAGCGTTTAAGGCCCCAGGATTGCTAACTGTCCCTTTTCTGTCCCATAGGAAAGGATCTCAGATATGTCCCCTATAGAAGAGACAAGTGAGGCACTGCCAGAGGAATCTATAGCAGGTGAATCTGGGCAAAGGACTTCACAAAGCAGCTTGCCGTAGAATTGTGCTTATTTTCTACATAAATTCTTTATTTTTCTCCAATACAGGTGAACCATCTACAAGATCTCTTATTATCTTGGATGAAAAGACTAAGGAGGATGCTTATGACTTCAGCACAGATTATGTGTAACAGAACCTCATCCTTTTATAAGAATTTTCTTAACATTTCAGGCTAACTGCTAGTGTTGTATGTAACGTGCCAGTTTTGGTAATGGCATAAGCTGTATAAATTTTATGAATCTGTATCGTGTACACATTAAAATGATTAAACAATATAGAAAGTGTCCACATTTTATAAAAAGATTGACTCAATACAGTGAAGTAGTAGTTATGCTGAAGCAAAGAAATCTGAAAAATGTAGGTTTTATTTATACACATGGGCCACAGCTTACAAAATTAAAATCCAGCAGCAGTTTTGAACTACCTATACTAGTTACATCAGCTTTATCAGTCCATTCTTCAGATAGTAAGCAAACACTTGGTAAGGCAGACAGACATAGTTATAGTCTTATCTGGAAAGCTGACTACCAGATAGGACAAATCATAATCTTTACCCAGATGAAACAAGTTTTGTTCCTTGGGTTGTTACAGATAGGCAGTGACACCTACCAAATATTACTTCCTACACATGCTGTCTTCTGAGATTTCCTGAGAAATACTTCCAGTTAAATTCTGTTCTACTTTATGTTTGAGATTTCCATGTGTCTTCGGATTAGGCTGAATTTGCCTGTTGGATCTGGAATGTACCATTTTTCCCAAATATCAGTGTATGAAGCAGTTCTTCCCCATGGCTTAAAATGTCCATTCCAATGGAGTAGTTTCGCAGCCTTTACAAACTGGGGTGAATATCTTTTGCCAGCACTGGAACCTTACAATTGAGAAAGAGCTAAGTGATTATATCAGACATGAAGGCAATCCCATACCAAACTGCAGGAGAGTTAAGGGAAATAGGCTATGTCCCATCCCAGAAGACAGTTTTAGATACAAATTCCACCAGTGATGGCGAACCTTTTAGAGCTTTCAATAACAGTCTGCTGTGGTGTGAGTTTCACCACCACTGGCTTAGACCAGTCATTTCTACTTACCAAGGTGGCGGACATTCCACATAGGGTCAATGGTGGAGTGCTGTTGATAAAATACGATAAGTAGAGGAGGTGTTGTGATGCTGCCGGCCAGTGTTCTGCTGTATAATCCTTCTCTTGGGAAAGATTACAAATATTACTGACAGTGATGACCGACTCCTTTTAGTTAAAAGACTTGGGGTTGAATAAGTTTTCATAGCTGGGCCAGTTAGATACTTACTCTACATTGAGTTTCATCCATTTTTCCAGCTGATTAGTTATGTTCTGTTGTTTCCATTCTGTTAGGTTTGCAACAAAAACTCCAGGATTAAAGGAACAGGTGCTGGCTTTCATGGAAAGCTTACGTATTCTTTCTTTTTTGTAATCCAGATAGCCAATGTAATTGTACTTTAAAAAAAATGGGACAAATGTTTGCTGCTTCTAACAGGTTATAACAAGTAAAAAATTAGTTGAGTCAGGTGTGATGGCACATGCTATAATCTCAGTACTTGGGCTGGGACAAAGTTTGAGCTATGTCTCGGGAAACAAAGGCCTGAGGATGTACGTCAGTGTGAAGACCATGGGTTTACTCCCCAGTACTGGAAAGGGTGAGGTGGCGGGGTTAAACTAAGACTTCTCAGCTCAGTAGCAAATAAAAATGACATTAAAGATTTCAAATTAAAATGGGACCTAGATTTTGATTTGCTACACCATATATTTAAGGTCAACTAGGTTAAGTTCACAAATGTATGCAGAAAAAGTGGACTGAGTTGTTTTATTTTTTGAGACAGGCCTCTTCAAGCTGGCCTTAAACTTGTTTGGTTCTTCTGGTACCAGGGATTAAACTCAGGACCTTGTGCTTGCCTAGCAGGCAGGTGGCCAGACCATTGAGCTAAATCCCTGACCCCTGGCTTGGAACTTGTGATCCTGTGCCTCAGTCTCCAAAGTACTAGGATTACAGGTGTGTGCTATCACACCTGGCTTGGGTTTTTAGATGAAATATTCAGGGAATGTAAGATGCAAAAAGAAAGTTCCCTCAATTTGCTACCTCTTCCTAATTAAACATAGGGAGTAGGCTATCGTAAGTAATTTACCTGGTTCCCTGCTACACGGATGACAACTTTAGTAGAGGCTGAATCACAGTCTTCTGAAAACGCAGCTGCATGTCCTGGTTTTAGTGGTGTATGGTACAGTGCAAGAATATCACCTGAAACAGTAAAGTGTTGAGATTAAGATTTCCAATTGTTTCAAGATTCCCTTTTCCTCTTTCTCCCTATGATGACCTTTACAGGAGACCATAATAAGGCACCCACCCATACCCTGCAATCTAGAGAACACTCATGGTGACATTATTACCTTGCACAATTACATCATCATCCAAGTATATGGCCTTCTTTGCATTGGGAACCAGAATTGGCAAATAGAACCTTGCAAAGGTTAACTGGAAAAGAAGCATTGGTATAAGATAAAGCACCTATGCTTTTATTTAGCTACTAGACTAATCTTGAGACTCCTGGAGAAAAATATCCAAAGGACTCTTAGAACCACCTAGGCTTCGTCCCCAGGGAGCTATCTGGACTGTACCCACAGCCAGGTATTCTGATCATTTCCTAATACTCCCAAATATAAACAAGGATGCATGGAACTCACTGGTTTCATGGACTCCCCCTGGTCAGGATCCTCCTTTACTTTACCTTCCAAAAGTTTAGTGTCAAAATTCACAATTTTGTACCTGATGTTTTTCAGGGAACCACTATTGAGCCATGACCTAATGAAGAAAATGCACCACAGTTCAGTTTTAAATAGTACTATTTTCAAGCCACAGCTTTATCTTTGTGCTTTCTTAGTATGGGCATAATTTAATTAAGATATTCTAGGGACCAAATAGGTATTTTCAAGCTCCTTTACCTCTCTGAGATTTGGTTTCCTTATCAGAAGTTAGGGTATTCCCACTAAAGTTCCTCTATGTACCAAAACTCTATGGTAATTATCTTCCAACACTGAAACTACTAGAAAAACTCTGGAATTGAGAATATCCCATCAACAATATGAACCATTCATAATACACTGGTGGAAAAAATAAGTCAAAGTACAAACATAATAAAATAGCTATCAACAAGGGCAATTCACTGATAAGTGTAATTTATGCACCAAAGTCTGAGGCACTGTCAGAGAGAAGCCAGTGTTTCCCAAAAAAGTCCTACATAATTTCTCTAGTCCGTTCCAAATCAGAATTTTGTCTACACTTAATGTAAAATATCCTTTTTTGGTTTGTTTTCTTGGTTTTTGAGCTAGGGTCTTGCTAGGTGGTTCAGGCTGGTCTTAAATTCACTATGTAGCCCAGCCTGGCCTCAAACTTGCAATCCTCCTGCCTCAGCCTCTGGAGTGCTGGGATTATAGGAATGTGCCACCACACCTGGTGACTATAGTCTATTTTAATGCAGTATTTGTTTTTATATCATGGTGGGTCCTAAATATGAATCACAGAGAAAGCCACAAACACAAATGTTTTACAACTTTGACAAATGTGAATCTATTAGTTTAGCTGTTTCTTGGAATAAACTTTGTAAGTCTTACTTTCATGGATAAACTCCCATAAGATTGAGTTTCTATTACAGCAAGTGACATGTTCCCACCAGCTTGAACCACCAGGTGGCTTATATCTAATCACTTTTATTGGTCTTTTTACTAATAAAATAAGAAGCTGCCTGGTGGGAAGGTCATGCATGTACCATTGGTGGTTCAAGCCACCCAGCAGCAAGACATACCAATTACAGCCCCATTATAAACATATTAAAATAGTACCATTTACTAAGCAACTATGTTGTTATACATATTTTTTATTTACTGTACTTGACACAATACCAAAGTTGAATGTTGTGTAGCTGACACACACTTCTATAATTATAGATGAGGAAATGGGTTCTGAGGTTTCCCCAAACATCCAGAGTTAGGATTTAGATCGGAATCATTGCTCAGGGCTGGGGATTTAGCTCAGCGGTTCTGCTGCCTGCCTTGCAAGTGCAAGGACCTGAGTTCAATCGCTGGTACCAAAACAAAACAAAAAGAAGAATCATTGCTCACTTCACCATAATACCTTGCCATTGTGCCCAAGTTCTTTCCCATTTCAGACCAGGATTAAAGCCTGGCTATAAAATTAGGAACTTGTGATTTGTAAGTCAACGTATTGCTTCCTTCATTAAGAAAGTCTTATTATCAAAATAACTGTTTTTTGGAGTTTTTTTGGGGGGTGCTGGAAATAGAACTCAGGATGTTGTGCTTACCAGGTATGCATGGTACCACTAAGCTAAATCCCCAGCCCAAGAGTAACCAAACAGTAGCTGTGGGGTTAATAGTGTGCATAGTGTAAGATCGTAATATCAGTTCTGCTGTCATGGGGATATGCTTCAAAGAAAAACGTCATATATCAAGCTTCTGTGTGGTACAATCTTAATAAATATATATTTCATATATATATGTATTATAGGCAAGTAGATCTCACCGAAGATGGTCTGCTGTATTGTTAAGCGTAACAATGTAGAAAATCACATTAGAGCGTGTGTTGTGCTGAATGCTATTTATGGCTGCAATGGCCCCCCCAAGCCTGTCTTCAGATGCAGCAATAACCACAGGAATCTCTTCTTGTTTTCCATCTACTACATGTCTGGGAGTATTTGGGATGAAGTCTATGGGCTGAAGCCCCAAAAATCCTGAATCTGAAAGGAATACACACAAAGAAGGCACTGTAATACAAATACAAACATAGCATCTTCAATTTCTGATCAGAACCAAGACATGGGAGAGGTAAGGTGAGGATTATGGCAGTGATTTACCTTACCCTCTCCTATTAAACTTTGAAGCACACTGCCCAAACACTGTTTTCCTCTATGTAACTAAACTTTTGAAAAAGTGAAAGTGTTTAATAAAATAGGCTGAACACATTCTGATACACTGTTAGTAGAAAAGTAGTATTTCCAGAATATATTCTAGCAGTTTGTATCAAGAGCCTTGAACAGGTACAAAGCCTTTTACCCAATCATTTCCCTGTGCCACATCTCCTGCAAACAAAATCTGAAATGTAATCAAGTCTTAATTTTAGGTTAGTACAGTATGTGTTAAGAATGCACAGGGCCTAGTTTCAATCCCAGCACCACCAAAAAGAAAAAAAGTCATATTCCCAGACTCATGGTCAGAATTTGAATAGAAATTTCTGAATTGGAATATAAGACTGAAATAGAAAAGAGTGCATGGTACTTAGCAACTGCAATTATTATTTCTTCCTTGTATTTTTTTTTTTTTAATTCTAGAAACTGAATTCAAGGCCTTCACACTAAGTTACATCCCTAGCCATTTTATTTTATATTTTGACAAAGGTTCTTACTAAGTTGCTAAATGCCAAGGCTGGACTTGAACATCCCACCTTCTTGCCTCTGCCTTCCAGAGTATGGGAATGGGATTATAGGTGTGTGCCACTACACCAGCTTTTTTTTTTTTTAAGACATGGTCTCATTATATTGCTAAGCCTGGCCTACACTTACAAATCCACCTGCCTTCCTCCCAAGTAGCTGAAGTTACTAGCTTGTGCCACCACATAGGCTCCTTCTTGCCCTTTACAATACAGTCAGTCTTCTGTATCTATGGTCCCACGACAATGAGTGCAAGCAACCACAGATCAGAAATACTAGAAAAAAGATTACTGTATTAAACATGTAAAACCTTGTTTTTCTTGTCATTATTTAAGCAACACAGTATAGGAACTATTTACACAGCCATTACAATGTGTCAGTCAGTAATGGTGAACTGTTTGGAGCTTTCAATGGTAGCAAACAGCTGGCTGCCCCATGCATGCCATAGGTTCACTACCACTAGTATGAGTAATCTAGAGCTGCTAAAATATACAAGTATGTACACAAGTTATATGTAAACACTGTACTGTTTTATATAAGGGATATGAGATCCACAGGAAGTCCTAGAACCAATCCCCACAAAGACAAAGGGACAAATGTTTATTGATTCATTTACTTGTCACTGAATGCTGAGTTCCTGCTATGTTCCAGACAGTATATAGACAATGGGGTTAGAACTATGAATAAATTGTATAAATTCCTAGCACCACAGAAGATAGACAATACATATACTTATGTGTGTTGCATGTAATTCATTTCTTATGGTGGCATCACCATCAAAAAATCTGAAAGTCACTGTATCAAAAGAGTTTTCTGTGGAATCAAGTAAACTATATCACATGAAAACAATATATGAAGAGTTTCTGCTATCATGATGATATGATTAAAAAACGAGTTTGAGCAACTCAGCGAGACTGTCTCAAAATAAAAAAATTAAATCCTAGCGAAACCCTTTCTCAAAATAAAAAAATTTTTTAAAAGGGCCAGGAATTTAGCTCAGTGGTTCTGCCACCTGCCTTGCAAGAGCAATGACCCGAGTTCGATCCACAGTACCAAAAAAAAAAAAAAAAGCCTTGTTTTTGCTCTCTCACATAAAAATAAAAACAAAAAAGAAAGCATATCATGTACAGTTTAATATAATCTCAACTATACAGAAAAAATATATACACAAATAAAAAGATTGGCAGATATAAAGCCAAAATTTTTAGTTAATTCTAGAAAATCAAATCATTCAACTAATATTTATTTAACTTTTTTAGGTATCAACCATCATCCTTAGGCACAGGAGATAAAGCACTGAAAAAAATGATTTCTTAAAAATTGAATACTATTTCCTTTTTATGAATTTTCCCAGGAGCATGCATTATCTCTTTCACATATACATCTATCCTTTTATTTTGCTAAGACAGGGTTGACTATGTTCAACTTTGAACTCATGGTAATCCTCCTGTCTCAGCCTCCTTGTTGAATGCTGGGATTATAGGCTTGTGCCACCATACCCAGCTACACATGTACATATATTGTTTAAAAAAACATGTTATCAGGACCAGGGATGTGACTCAGCGCTACCGCACTTGCCTGGCAAGCGCAAGGCCCTGAGTTCGATCCCCAGTACAGGAACACGTTATCTGGACTGAGAGTACAGTTCAATGGTCGAGTGCATGCCTTAGGTCCTAGGTTCAATCCTCAGCATCAAAAGAAAAAAAAAAATTAAACACTATGAAAGTTGGGGAGCGCTATTATTCTTTTCTTTCTCTGCTCATCTACAGTGGGTTGCAATCCAAAAATGATTTTGGAGCTGAGTGTGGTGGCACACTCCTGTAATCCCAGAACTTGGGAGATGGAGTTCTAGGTTGGCCTGGACTACAAAATGAGACCCTGTCTCAAAAAAAAAGAAAACAAAATCACAAAAACGATTTTTGACACTCTGAAGCCTCAAACATCCCTCAATACAAAGGCAGGGCATTATGAACACCTAATTTACAACAACTTGCAATGTAATTATAAAATAAAATGATGTTTAAAAAACCAGCTTACAAGCCTTTATGATTTGTTTTATTACTAGAGTCCTTTTGATGTGATTGCTCAGGTTAAATGAAAGTAATACGGGCAAAGGAAAGTTAACTAACACCCTAGTGACCCAGAACAGGCATCCTATTTTCTAAAGCCTTACACTGCAGATGGTAGCCGGTAGGGGATGCTCTCAGGCCTGTGATTGATAAAAAGGAATAGTCTGTCAGATCAAACCCTCAGCTAATGATTGCACTACAGGGAGAAAAAGAGAGGAGCACCACAGGAGCACTGTCAGTACCTACCATGTCTTTGCCCAGATATCTTTTCTAAGGTCAACAAACAAGCTTTCTGTTCCTTTAGTATGAGACACAGACTCAGCTGTCCAAGACAAAGTAACCTGAGATTTTAGAGTGCTATTCCCCCAAAATTAAAAACTGTTAAAAAAAAAAAAAAGCTGGGCATGGTGTGCATACATACCCATAATTAATCCCAGCACTTTGGAAGCCTGAGGCAAGAGGATCACAAGTATGAGCCAAAACTGAGCAATCCAGCAACTTTGACCTTGTCCCAAAAAAAAAAGATGGAGACATGTAGCTCAGTGTGAAGCCCTAGTTCAAGTCCCAGTACCACCCACCCTTCCAAAAAAAACTGGTGTGCATATAATGATGTAAACAAAGAACTCCAGGTGCTCAGCAGATTCCAAGGCATTGATAAAAATTCCCATACCTGAAACCTCATTCCTCAGCAAACTGCTCAGGCCAAGGAAGTTATGATGCAAAACCAATAGGAAGAGAACAACGGCCAGAACCAGGATGACAATGTTTACTGAAACAGACAGGAAAAACATACATTATCTCTATTTTTGACTAGGTATAAAAATACCATAACTTACAGAGAGAACATACCTTTACGGAACGACATCTTTTTCTTCTGTATTACATAAATGTTAGTTGTTAACCCTACAAAACAAAACCAAGCCCCCAAAGTTAGTAAAGTAACTACATGACAATAGCCATCAAAATGCCCAGACACTTCTGTTTGGGTAGGAAAAAGAGGCATACATGGTATTTTGTCAGAAACTTGTAACTTGGAAAAATATGTAGCCTTTCTAGCCTCATACACTTTATGTTTCAAGAGCAAATGAGATTCACTTGTCTATGATGAAGTAAGCTAAGAATTTAGAATGCTATTCTCAAAAATTAAAAATCCGCTAAAAAAAAAAAGAGCTTCTGAAGCTCTACCTCCGTTGGTTTACTACCATCTATTAAGAATGGTGTCCAATACAGTCCCTTTGCCCTAGCTAATCCTCTCTAGCTGGTTCATCTTCACTTTCTTAGAAGAAATAATTGAATGGAAACAAGACTGTAGTGTAACTAAATTTATTAAGCAATTAAATTTTTACAGCAATCACCGGGAAGTTTCCTTAAAGCCAGATTTTATACAACCATAATTATAGGATTGAACATCTGAGAAATTCAGCTCTTTTTAAGCTTTACCTTCTCCTACAGTACAACCTTTTACATAAGGCAACTTATTTTTCTAAAGTACTTGTAAACATATTTCTACGAATCACAGTTACTTTGTTGGGTTTTCTGAGGTATCTTGTTTTGTTTTCTTTGAGACAGGGTCTCAGTATGTAGTTCAGGCTGGCCTGAAATTCACTACATAGCCCCCAGGCTGACCTTGAACTTATGGCAATCTTCCTACCTCAGCTTCCAAAAGTGTGCCACCAGGCTCAGCCCAAAGTAACTTGGAATTAATTTCATTCTAGGTAAACTGTGTGCTGTCAGGCACTTGAATTCTCAAGACCTTTGAAAAGAGGAAAATATATTGAGCTGTTTCAAAACTAGGGATTATGGCCCAAATTACAAATCTGGATTAGAGTAAATCAGATAATCTAAAACACACACACTCATTTCTTTCTAGAGCACCGTATACATGAATTTCCTTTCTAAAGAATACACATTACATCCCTTATGCTTTATATCTATATCACATTGTGGGCTGAACCTTACCTATAGAAGCTGGAAAATTGGGAGCTGCTCAGATAACCCTAATATCTGTTTGCTTTGAGCCAGCTTCTACTACAAGTGGACACACACACACACACACACACACACACACACGCAAAGACAAAAATCTCATTCTAATAAATCCTAAATAATTATTGATACAAAAAATAGTATTTTATGCCAGGCGTGGTGGCACATGCCTGTAATCCCAGCACTCGGGAGGCTGAGGCAGGAGGATTGCTGTGAGTTCGAGGCCAGCCTGGGCCACACAGTGAGTTCCAGGTCAGTCTCAAGTACATAGTGAGACCCTGTCTCAAAAAACGAAAAAAAAAAGAAACAGTATTTTAGCTCATCAACTTCTAGTAACAATTATTTATAGATAGTAATATACCGGGATCGACATACATGTATTTGTGCTATTCCAGTTAGTTGGACACAAGAAAAACAATTCCAGCAAGTATTCAATATATTTAAGTAGATTAGCATGGCAGAAACCAGTTGTTCCTTAAACTCTTACACATGCAGGGTCAGGATTTAGCTCAGTGGATTTGGCACCTGCCTTGCAAGCGCAAGGTTCAGAGTTCAACCCCAGTACCACCAAAAAAAAAAAAAAAAAACTAAAAAACTCTTACACATGCAAAATGCCAATTATTATACAGTATGTCTGATCCTTATTTCCTTTCCTGGTAGTGAAGCCTCCTCGATCTGTTTGGAAGGAATCCTCAAAACAAAACTGCACATGGAGTCTGGATTATTAACAGTAGTGTGTGTGTGTGTATATATTTTTGGGGGTATAAGGGATCGAACTCGGGTCCTTGCACTTGCGAGGCAGGTGGCAGAACCACTGAGCCAAATCCCCGGCCCAGTAGTATATTTTTGTAAGAATACACAACTAGACCATTTGATCAGCAATCTTACATTGTTCACTAAAAAATATTTTTGCACCTGGGATTTAGTTCAGTGGTGCCACACCTGCCTGGCAAGCACAAGGTCCTGAGTTCAATTCCTGGTACCAAAAGAAAAATATTTTTGCTTAGAAGTTATAAAACCTTCACATTCCCAAATCACTCATTCATAAAAATAAAACATCCCCTTAGTAACTCCTACACATACACACACACGAGAAATCAAAGGTGGGCATAACCGTTAATACGAAATAAACTTCAAGAGAAAAAGACCAGTTACTTTTTTTTTTTTCCTTTTTACTTGGTAGCTACCTACATTTATATATACACTCTCAGCATCTGTGTCTGCTTCTTGTTTCCCCTCTTGTGACTACAGGCCACGTACTTCCGTGAAAGACTACTCCACTGGTGCTGTGGATGCTATATGCTCATTGTTTTCTTGCTGTAGCATCATCAACTTTTCTTACTCTGTGCTGGTTCACACCAATCAACATGTTCTGGTGACTTCTTGTCAGTTTAAGAGGTGGGGAGAGGAGAGAGGGTGAGAGGAAGAGAGGGAGAGAGGGAGAGAGAGAGACTGCCTCCCTCACTCTACACCAGCTGATCCACAGGCCCATTTTTCTGCCACTCTTCATTCTTTTTGGAGACAGGGTCTCCTTTGCAGTTCAGGCTGCCCTTAAACTATGTAGTCCAGACTGGTCTTGAGTTCACAGTGATCTTTCTGCCTCAGCCTACCCGATGCTGGGATCACAGATGTGGGCCACCACACCCTAAATCTCTCTCTTCACTCTATTTTACTTATTTATTTATTTTGGTTTTTTGAGACAGAGTCTCACTATGTAGTCAGACTGCTCTTGAACTCGCAGCGAACTCTCCCAGGCTGGTCTCAAACTTGCCCAGGCTGGTCTCGAACTCATAGTGATCCTCCTGCCTCAGCCTCCTGAGTGCTGATATTACAGGCATATGCCACCACACACAGCTTAATCCCTCTTCACTCTAAAAGCTTGAAAGGATGCAAAACTCTAGCTCCCAGACCTCCTCTCATCTCCAGCCTCTCCCAACCAGACTTATGTTCCTACTTTCAAACTGCTAAAGTAATCTTTTTATCCTCCTCTCCTTATTGCCAGAGGCAACAAAAAAAAATTCACCTCAATCTTCCTCCTCAGTTATAAAAATAACTCACTTATTTTTGTCTTCCTTGATTAGAAAGGAAGCTCTAGGAAAAGAGACCCTGATGAAAATATTTACTGACATATCAGTGCCACCCCTAAAACTGCCTGGCAAATAGTGGTAGGCATGTGATATTTCTTGAATGATCTTGCTAATCTAGGAACAAGGCTAGTTCTCTGCTCAAGAAGAGAAGGAGGGCCAGGGATTTAGCTCAGTGGTTCCAGCACCTACCTCACAAGCTCAAGGTCCCAAGTTCGATCCCTGCCAAAAAAAAAAAGAGAGAGAGAGAGAAGGAAATCTTTGGTAATCATGAAAACAAACTACAACGTAAGGAAAAATATGGAATTCTAATGGCTATCCTCCCCCAACCTGACAGGCAATTTTCTTTTCATACATCTTCGTAATTCAAATACTATAAGGTCTCCACAGCAATTGGCATCCTATGAAAAGCACTAGAGGAGAAGTAACGCAGAGGAACAGGTTTATTCATAAAGACTACAGAAAGTTTGCTCACACACCAAGAAATACAGATGGAGCAAGGGAAGGTGGCCCACGCAAACTCTTGCTCTTCCCAGTATCTGCCCTCTACGTGCCCTGGGCTCCCTCTGAGGCTGGAAAAGTGTCAAAGGGGCCTGCACTTTACTGAAAGATGGAAAAGCACTTAGTAGATCCAGCCACTATTCCTGTCCCTTCACGGCTCGCTCCTACTTGTCTTTTAGGAGTTGGAGAGCCCTTCCGAGCCCCACTCTTGAGTTGTGCCTCTCTAGGGTTCCACATCTCCAGCCCCCCACCCCCACGTCAATCCAACTGTCATGGTGTGATGTGGCTGTCTCCCTTGACATACTCTGGGCCAAGCCTGGTCCATGGGCTGGCACAAACAAGGTGCGGAGAGCGTTTGCTAGATGCGTGAACGCGGCGGCAGGCACACTCCTCCCTGCCCAGAGTGCCTAGAATCCCAGCATCTGTAGCTGACCCTTCACACAGAGCAGAGACCAGAGAGGGCCAGTTGGCCGCAAAGGGCAGCACTACCCGAGACGGTTCCTCTCTGAACGTGTGCATCCCGCCCGCCTAGCTCGCTCACCGAGGGGGACCCAAGCTTTTGTGATATACACTAACTTCAGGGACTGGGAAACCCTTGGCTGGTCTCCATCGGGAGGCCCAGCCTGCGTCTGTGAGGGCCGGCGAAGCGCACAAACAGGCTGGTGGGCAGAGTTTGGGGCCCCTTACATGGGGGCTGTCTCCACGCGGTGTGAGGAGCGCCGGCGGACCCAGGTCCTCTCTCCGAGAGTTACTACTTTTCTCTGGAAGAAGTGGCCAGGATTCCCCTAAATTCTAAGAGTCAGCAGGGCCCGCTTACGCTTAGGAGTAACAGAGAGGTGGCGAAATGCCCGGGGACCCCGCCGGCCCGGACAGGTCCGGGTTAGGGCTCGGCGTGGGAAGTCGTTCCGTCAGACGCGGGCTGCCCTTACCTGCAGCGCTAGGACCGCAGCCGCCGCCCGCACCTCGGCCCGCCCCGCCAGCTCAGCGTCCGCGCCGCAGGCCCCGGGGCCCAGCCTCCCGCCAGGCCGCTCGCGTCAGCTGCACCCCGAGCCGACCCCCCTCGCCCGCTTCCCAGCGAGTTGCTCCGCAGCCTGGCAGCGCCGTATCACAACACCCAGCCCACGCGCGACTCCCGCAGCTGGAGCACAACGGCTAGCAGGCGCCGCGGGGCAGCCCCACCGCTGGGGTCCTACCGCCGAAAAGGCCGTCTCCATGGAGACGCGCCCCGCGCGGCAGTCCTTAAGCCTCTGAGATGCGACGATGAGCGCTTTGCCTGGCCGAGGCCGCGGCTTCCGGAGATCATCGGCGCTGAAGGCGAACCCTTCACGGACGCGCGATGCCTCAGCCGGGTCGCCGCCTCAGCCCTCGCAGGTGGTGCGCCCCGCTACAGCCAACTCCGAAACCACACGTCGCCTAGCGACGGCGCGAGGCGGGGCCACAGGCTGTCCGGGCCTGTACGAAACTTCCGCTTCCGGGGTCTCCTCCGTAGCCCTCAGAGCTTCAGCCCGGCAGCATTGCAACGTACGGTGTCAGCTTCGGGCTGCTGAGGCACCTCAGTATTGGTTTCTGTCGTTCCGCTGTCTTCTCCGTTAATCATGCTGGAACATCTGAGCTCGCTGCCCACACAGATGGTGAGAGTGCGGCCTGGGCATCCCTGCAGCCTCGAAGCCCTCGAGCGCCGATCCGGTGCTGCGCGGTTACCAACCCCCGGAGCATTGCAGTCTTTTTTTGTTTTTTACCCAAATTGTGCCTCTTGGGTCCTTATCTCTTCCCCTGAAAAGACCACCTTGCCCATGCTCCGTTAGGGTGCTCAGGCTCCCTTAGGAAACCCAGATTTTGCATTTTTTTAACCCAGTCCTTGGGGTAGCCCTGGTGGTGTGTTGCCTGTGCCGCGGCTGAGTTCCGTGCGATGGACCCCTTGGTAGCAGGACCAATACCTGTCTTGTTCTCCTTCATCCTTAGGATTACAAGGGTCAGAAACTGGCTGAACAGATGTTTCAAGGGATTATCCTTTTTTCTGCAGTAAGTATTAATTTTACATTTAAGTTTCTTTTTGCTGCCCATCTTGACTAAATACTTCTTTTTTCTCTAGATAGTTGGATTTATCTACGGGTACGTGGCTGAACAGTTCGGGTGGACTGTATATATAGTTATGGCTGGATTTGCTTTCTCCTGTTTGGTAAGAAATCTATGGGTGTTGAGTGTTAGTGGCAGGATGGGTTTTCTGAGCTGGTTGCTACCTTCCGCCCCCCTCCCCGCCACCTTCACACCAGTGTTTCTCTTCCCTATGTTGGATAAGTAGAATGACAAATAAGTGTCTGTTGGTGTAAACGGTATAAAAAATTAGTTTATTTCAGAACAGGAATTTCTCCCAACGCTCACATTGCCTCCTCCACCTTTCCTCCAGGTTAAAGCCTTATGTGTAAAGAGTAAGGCTTGTTCCCACCACCCTATATCTTTTTTTTTTGGTACTGGGGATCCAACTCGAGATCTTGTGCTTGCCAGGCAGGTGGCGGAACCATTGAGTTAATTCCCCAGCTCACTCTATAATATCTTGTCTTGGGACTGACACAGAACTTTAACAGGATATGTTTTTGTTGATGATGTCAACCTTTAGCACAGGAGTCATTTGGTAAGCAGGCATTATACATAATGGCCTTTTAAACTTTTTTTTTTTTTTTTTTTTGTACTGGGATTGAAGTCAGGACCTTGCACTTGCAAGGCAGGCACAGTGCCACTGAGCCAAATCCCTAGCCCTGGTCTTTTAGACTTTGAACAGTTGTAATTGATATATTTCTTTTTTCTCTTCTGGTTTAGCTGACACTTCCTCCATGGCCCATCTATCGCCGACATCCCCTCAAATGGCTACCTGTTCAAGAATCAGGCACGGAAGAGAAGAAACCAGCGGATAGAAAAATTAAGAGGCATGCTAAAAATAACTGATTGGGGCATTTGTGGTTCAACATCTGCTTTTGTTTCCTGTGAGATGAGCTAAATAGCTTTCATACCCACAACACAAGCTAAACCACCTATGCTCTTGCAGCACAGCCATGTATAGGTATAATTCTTTGTTTCATCTCTAACTCAGCTTTGACCCAAAAAATATCTGAGACCCTATCTTGGTAATCTTGTTCTAAAATGGAGAACAGAAAACACAAGTGTGCAGTGTTTCTTTCAGGTATACATTAATAATGAATAAATGCCTCAAATGATAATACGGTTTATCAAATGTTTTATAATTCATTACAGATTATTAAACTGTTTCACAGTGTTTCAAAACAAAAAAGCTTAGTGCAAGTCTAGGTCTAAAAGGTCTTTGTTGATTGTGTTTTGTTTTTTCTTTTTTTGAGACAGGATCTTGCTACATAGTTCAGGCCAGTCTTGAACCCAGTATGTAGCCCAGGCTGGCCTGGAACTTGCAGCAATCCTCCTGCCTCAGCCGCCTGAGTGCTAGGATTACAGGAGTACATCACCAAGCTTGGCAGTTCTACAAGATTATTAAAAGTCAAAGTCAGGGGCCGGGAATTTAGCTCAGCGGTTCGGTGGCCTGCCTTGCAAGCACAAGGACCCGAGTTCAATCCCTGGTACAATTAAAAAAAAAAAGAAAAAAAAAGTCAAAGTTAGAAGTCTGAATTTTAAGGGGCCAAGGATGTAGCTCAGGGGTGCCTGTGCCTGCCTGGCAAGTGCAAGGTCCTGAGTTTGACCCCCAGTTCTGGAAGAAAAAAAAAAGTGTGGTTCTAAAAAGCATAATTTTTATTTTCTGTAGCTAAAAGTTCTTAGGATATTCTTAAAAATAGCAAATATTTCTGAAAAATTTACTAATACAAATTGATGAGGTAGCACTGATACAAGAGCTGTTAAGCAGAAAACATTAAAGGTAGACTAAAGTAAAAACCCATAAAGCTGTAAATTTCTTTTGAAGCTTTTTCAGAGGAATGAAGAGAAAATCATGCTTAAAGGTCTTGTGTTAGGGTAAGAAGATCATTAAGTAATGTTTATTTTATTTGGTACTGGGGATTGAACCTGGTACCTTTTCACTGAACATCTCCAGACATTTTTGCATTCTTTATTTTGAGACAGGGTCTTGCTGAATTGCTAAATTTCCCAGGCTGGGCTTGAATTTGAGATTCTCCTGCCTCAGCTTCTCAGGGTGCTGGGATTACAGGCCTCTCCCAGCCCGCATGCTCCACTTCTCAGTGGGAGAAGGTGGGACTTCCAAACTATGAATTTAAGATAGCAATCAGACCTGATGACACATCTCTAATCCCAGCTACTTGGGTGGCTGCAGTAGGAGAAACACAAGTTCCAGCTCAGCTTGAGCAGTTTAGCAAGATGCTATCTCAAAAAATGGAAATGTAGCTCACTGGTATACTTGCCTAATAACTATGAACTCCTGGGTTCAATCCCCAGTAAAGCAAAAAACAAAACAAAAAACCTTAATACAGAAAGTCTCAGGAACCTTGCACCTACAAGGCAGGTCTGGCGCCACTGAGCTAAATCCCTGGCCCAGGAAATTAATTTTTTAAAAGGTAAGAGGACAGGAACAAGACCAATATAAATATTACATTAAATACAATCTGAGTCAGAAACCCCTGTGCTGAGTGGTACGTGCCTATGATCCCAGCACTTTGGAAGGCTACAGCAGGAAAACTGCAAGTTTGAGGCCCAGCATGGGCAATATAATGAGACCTTGCCTCAAAATAAAAAAGAGGTAGAGTGCTTGGTTGACATGTATGAGGCCCCAAAATCCCCAGGTTTGAAAGTAACAAGGATAATATTGGGCAGATACAGGGCTGAGGATGTAGCTCCATGGCACTGTGCATGCCTGGCAAGTGTAAGATCCTGAGTTCTAAGCCCAAAAAAAAAAAAAAAAAAAAAAAAAAAAAGCAGATAAAAGTAGAAAAGAGTAACAATAAAAAGGTCAGATACTTGATAATCAAATTATTAACTGGAGCTAAGAGGCTATTTCATAGCTGCTAAAATGTCACTTAGGAATCCTTATGCATTGAATAAGAACTGTATAAAACAGATTGTTACAAAAGAATTTGGCAAGAGTTGAGCATGGAGGCACCTGCTTGTAATCCCAGCACCCTAGGCTGAATAAATTCATGTCTAGCCTGGGCAATTTAGCAAGATCTGTCTGAAAGAGATGGAGATGTAGCTTAGTGCAAAGGCCCTAAAAAAAAAAAAAAAAAAAGATTGGAAAAATTACAATCTTGATAAACAGGCCAGCACTTTAACCTTTCAGAATTTGGCAGAGCAAGTAGTATATAGCTAGGAAAACTTCTGCACTTATTTCCTCTCCCTGGAATACCTTCCCTCAGACACATAGCTTCCCTTCCTTTCCCTGAGGTCTCAACCCAGATGTCGTTATACTGGGGTTTCCCTACTCACCTAATGAAATACAGCAGTATGCCCTGCTACGTCACCTGGCATTTAATATATCTCATGGGTTTTATTTTTTTGTTACTTATTCTTACTAGAACATTAGTTTAATGGGAACAGAGACTTCCTTTTGCTTACTGAAATTTAACACTTCAGTTCTTTGATCAAACTAGCCACAATTCAAGAGTTCAATAGCCATATTTGACTAATGGCTGCCACATTGGACAATGTAAACAACATTTCAGTCATCATGTATCAGTCAGGTCTTGTACAAAAACTGAATACTATTTAATGAATGAGTGATTTTTGTATAACAGAATTCACTTTTATTGAATGCCTACAGGGCCATTCCAACAATGAATCATGTACTAAGCAACAGGAGAAAAAACCTCCAAGCAGTGGTTGTGCAGGTCACGCTTAGTAACAACACTGCAGTGTAGCTGGGGTACAGGCATAGAGCTTGCTTGGCCTTCTAAATCTATAGAAATTAAATACTTTTAAGAGAGAAAATCAAAATCAGAACGATTGACTTTTTAGAAACTAATGTCAAAACAAGTATATCAAAGTCTATGAAATGTGGCCAAGAAAATACAGTCTTGAAAGAATTTTTAAAATTAAGAGAAAAAACTAAGCATTCAAGAAAAAAAGAACCACAAAAATAACCAAAGGACAGTAGGATGGAAACTGAATGTGTAAATAAAAATATAAGGCATAGGAATAAAAAATTATGTAAAGAAGAATGTTCTTTTAATTCGAAGAAAATAATCTGTACTACTTTATACCAATAAATGAAAAACTTAAGTAAAACCAGCTGGTATGGTGGTGCATGACTGTAATCTTAGTGATCTGGGTGAAGAAGGGGGATTGCAAGTTGGCCCCCACTTGGACAACTTAGTAACTTAGTGAGACCTTGGGTCAAAAATACAGGGCTGGAGGGCTGGGGATTTAGCTCAGTGGCACCGCGTCTGCCTCACAAACATAAGGTCCTGAATTAGATCCCCAGTACAAAAAAAAAAAACTACAGGGCTGGAGATACAGCTCAATGTGAAGGCCCTGGGTTTCAATCCCTACTACTACAAAAAAAAGGGGAAGGAGTAAAAAAACATTAAAAACAGTGACTATCCAGAGAGATAAGACTCCTAAAACATGCAAGCAGTAAACAGCTCAAGAAGACCAACAGTTTGCCAGAGATGTGCCCCCAAGTGGGCTTTGGGACTAGGTGGTTTTATAAGTTCAGTTCTAATAAACCTTCAGAGTAAAAATGAGAAGTAAAAATGAGCACTGCCAAGGGCTGGAAGTACTGTTTTACGATTTTTGTTTGTTTTTGGTACCAGGGATCAAACTTGGGTCTTTGCGCTTGTGAGCCAGGTGGCGGAACCACTGAGCTAAATCCCCAGCCCTGGAAGTACTGCTTTATTTGCCACTCTATCCTTAGTTCCTGACATAGCACCTGGTACATAGTAAAACTTAAATAATAAGTGACTAAAAGAATATTTCATTAAAACATTTCATTTGTCTAGTTTTCAAAGAAAAGGGACATTTTTATAGAAATAAAACACCTAGAGAGGAAGTCGTTTTTAGAATTCCTTCAATACATAAGTAAAATTTTACTAACCAAGACTTGCATTAACTTTCCTAAATAAGAATTCTTTCTTTAATTACACTAACAAAATATGTGATATACAGTCTTGTAGGGAACAACAATATCTTGAATGTGAAGACAAACTTCATGAGACAAATATTACATATATCCAGTATAACTAAAAGGATCTGGGCTCTCCTTAAAAATTGCTTCACTGGAAAAGGAGTTAGTCTTCGAGTTGTTTTTCCTGATGGGGAAATGAATCTAACAAAACCAGTGATGGAAAAACGTGATACAAAACCAAAATACTTTAACTTCAACTCCTGTATACTCTAAATGAGGTACATACTAAATGAAAAAATATTGAAAGTCCATCAATGTGTAAAAGAAAAGGAATCATTTGCTCATATACTACACAGGAGCTCATATTCTTTAAATCTCTTTCCAGAATAAGGAATTAACTTTTTAAAATAATGTATTGGGCCAGGTATTTAGCTCAGTGGTTCCACTGCCTGCCTCACAAGTACAAGGTCCTTTGTTCGAACTCGGTAACAAAAATAAAAAATAATAATGTATTAACTATTCCCTAAGGTTAGCAGAAAACATCATTACACATACTATTTCTTTATTTCTCCTGTAGCTTTTATCACTGTAGTACATATAAAAGTTCTAACCCAATGCTTTATGGCCCTGCTTTCAAGCTAATATCTTAAAAAAATAAAGCTCTAGATATAAAGTTGATGCTTTAAGGCTCAGCAACCAGTGACCAAACAAGTGTAACATTTTTCCTCATAAAAAGAATATGAAAGCCAATTTTTTTTCTTTTGTGAACTAGCTTCATATTACTCTATTCTGTCCAATTTTTTCAAGTATGAAAACTCCAAAGATATATAAAAGCATGGTGAATGGCCTCTAAACAACTCTTCCAAGGTTTGTTTTTTAAGCCAAAAACCTTTGAAAATAGGTCTAGTTCTAACAAATTCTCAAAAATTCACATGTTCTTCAAAAAATTTCAACTGGCGAGCTTTCACACTGTAAGGTGTGTATTTGTCACCCATGTGCTTCCGTAAACGTACCTATTTGGAAAACAAAAAGAAAATCAGTATGTAACAGGAAAAAATTTCTGTAATTTTAGAAGCTTTCCTAGGTATGATATTGAAGGTGTAAACCGTTTGGGAAAATACTAGTAATTTACAAAGAAATTTTAAAGTATAAAACAGCAAACAATAAACCAGGAAAAATGCTTGCAACATTCATGCCAACAGATTAAAGGCAATATATAAGGAGTTCTTAAAATCCAACATTAGAATACTAGAATTAATAAAATCCCATGGATAATCCTGTAACATTTACAAAATAGTAACACAGCTAGCCAATACATAAAATTCAGCCTAACTAGTGAAGAAAAAAGTATTGTGTGCCAGGCATGGTGGCATAGGCCTGTAATCCCAGCACTCTGGAGGCTGAGACAGAAGGAACAAAAGTTCAAGCCCAGCCTGAGTAACTCAGTGATTTAGACAGACCCTCTCTCCAAAAAAAAAAGGTGAGGATAAAACTCAGTGCAAAGGCTCTGGGTTCAATCCCCAGTACTGAAGGAAAATTGAAAGCTGTGCGACATTCAACACATACGTGTTCTTAAGTGTCATCGCGTCTTGATTCAGTGTACTGAGAACACGTCACTTGGGTGGTACCCCTGACAAACAAGCACAACCTGGATCTATCTATTCAAGAGAAAATGGAAAAACTAGACCAAGGGACATTTTATAAAAATGCATGGCCTAGGGCCGGGGATTTAGCTCAGCAGTTTGGTGGCCTGCCTTTCAAGTGCAAGGACCCAAATCCAATCCCTGGTACAAAACAAAACAAAACAAAAAAAAAAAAACGCACGGCCTATTCATGTCAAAAACAGCAAAATCCTGAGGAATGGTTCCAGATTAAATGAGATGTAACTAAATATAAAATGTAATCCTGGTTGATTCCACCATGCACATGACAGCATGAAAAGCTCTGCAGACCCCTACTCAGTGAAACCGTTGAGAATTATTTTAAGAACCATCCATTTCAAGTATATAAAAAGCCTTGAAGGCACAGAGCATATAAAGAGACATTGAAGAAATCTACTAAAACCTCATAAGAACAGTGAGAGTCATTATGTGAATCAAGACCAAGTGCCACCCTGGAGCTCAGTGAAACAAAAACTATTACAGAATGGTGAAGCCAAGAATGCAGCCTGTTTGCCAGCACCTTCTAGTTGAAAGGCTTTCTTCCTGGGAAGGGCGGGACATTAGCATGTTAGATGCTGCTGCAGGTGGTTGAGGCTAAATTTCTGGAGAATACAGTGAAGAAGTAGGAGTTCCCTTCTTCCACCCAGGCTACAGAGACCTGGGGAACAGAGGCTGTACCTTGGGTGTGGCAGTGCTGAAAATAAAAGGGCTCTGATCTCCTTTGCTATAGACCACAAAGTGAACAGTCCCCACTAGGCAGAGCATACCAAGACCAGAGGATGCTATCCCCATCTTCCCCCACTGAGTGCTCAGCTTTGTTTTTCTTTTTTAGAAAAGAAAATACAGGTCTTGCTGTGTCGCCCAAGCTGGCCTCAGGCTCCTGGGTTCAAGTGATCCTCCTGAGTAGCTAAGGACAAGTGTGGATTACCATGCCTGGCCTAGAGTGCTCAGTTCCTAAAGTGGAGACATTACTCACGAGCATGTCACTGTCCCCACCCCTACTTCCAGAGCCATCTCAGACTCTAGGGATAGAAGCAGGGCATAATCAGAATACCAACTCTTCCAAATGAACTGACTTTCTCTGGAGCAGAACACAGAGAATCCAAGCTGAGTGCTCCCCAAAAAGGAGTAGAAGTAATGGTGAAAGACAACTGGGAAGAATGTAATGGATTCCCTGGCATGCGGGATACACTATAGTTTGGGCTAGTTTACTGAAGAAAACCAAGTGCCTGGGAGGAGCCCTCTGGAGTCAGAAAAACAAAATCTCTAACACTGATCTTAGGAACAATCCTGTCCAAAGAGTCAACATTTACTTCCCTGTAACCTTAGTACTCTGGGAGGCTGAGGCGGAAAGATTGCAAGTTTGAGCCCAGCCTGGGCAATTTAGTGACTTTTTGGAAAGACTGACTCAAAAACTATAAAGCTGGCAGGGGATGTAGCTCAGTGAGAAAGCCTTGGGTTCATATTCCTAGTATGGAAAAACAAAATGACTATTATTGGTCTGTGGCACAATGTATATCCTAGGGCACTGTTGAAATCAACAGGATAATCTGCAGGAGACTGAAGGATCTGCAGGATGTTAGAAGCTGAGTAGTGTGAGAAAAGAGGAGAGGCCTGCCAAACCCAGACATTTCACTGGCAATTCCTAGCTGCACTCACTGAGGGACACTGTGACTGAATAGGAAAGCAGTGCCAAAAGATCTGCAAAGGGAAAAACTGAAAGGGAGAAATACTAGCTAATCAGAGAGGAAAAGTCTGTGTTATGAAATAGAAAGACAAAAAAGACATTTCCTTGCTAAGTATTCATAATACAGAAATGACACAATTTGAAAGAAGAAATGAAACTATAAAAATTCCAGTAGTGGTCAGTGACTATAACATTGCTATAGGCAGTGTTGACAAGAGTTGACCAACATCTAACAAGGTCTTCTGTCATCATAAAGTGAGGGAAAAATACTATTATAAAATATTCATTTACCTTCTGGACCAAATAGTATGGAACTCTTTTGGTATTTATGCAGAACAAAGGGATTCAAAAAGTCATTTACAGTTTAGATTAGTTCTACTAGGCCAAACAATTGAAAAATACATGGCAGTGAATTATCAACCAGGATGTCCATCAGGGACGTCTTATCATGGGCGTCTTCACCATCACCTTTGTGGGCAGGCATTTTATACACATTATCATCACCCACAGAAAAAAAGGAAAGGCCAACATGACAGTGTAAAGAATGTTCAAAGACTACTGAAAAAAAGAATTTGGAAAGAAACTAGATACTACTGTCCAGATTAACAACATTCAGTTGTATATGGTATGTTTTAAAATATACCATTCACAGAAAAATTACTGAAAACATTATTGTTTTTATATTTCTTGTTAATACTAACTTGTAAAAATTAACCAAAAAATGCAATCCTATATTTAAATAAATGGACTGATAAGTGGTTAAGGTTTGATCACCTGTGTTTATGAGTGAACCTGTTTTGGCCCGGTGTGGTGATGCACGCCTGTAATCCCAGCACTTGGGAGGCTGAGGCAGGAGGACTGCCCCAAGTTTGAGGCCAGCCTGGGCTACACAGTGATTTCAAGGTCAGCCTGAACTACAAAGAGAGACCCTATCTCCAAAAAACAGAGTGATAATACTGATCTGATATGTTTTCATGCAGTATCCTTGTTTGATTTTAGTGTCAGGGTTGTGCTGGCCTTATGGAATGAGTTGGGAAGTATCCCTTCTTAAAGTTTTCTGGGAGAATTTTCATAACATTGGTATTATTTCTTTCTTAGGTGGCTGGAAGAATTCACCAGCAAATCTATCTGAGCCTAGAGTTTTCTCTGTGGAAAAACATTCCTCTTTCTAGATGGTATATTTAGGCTTTACATAACTGCTTAGCCAACTTGGAGATGAAAGTAGAAAGGCGGTGGATGCCAGGGACTGGGAGAAGTGTGACCTAGACAGCGAAGTTTAAATAGAAAAACTTATTACAGTAAAAGACACATTGTCACTAACTGTCCTCAAAATACTCCCCCTTGCTTGAAACACACTCAGGCCATTATTCTTGCCACTTTCTGAAGCAATTCTGGAAATCCTCTTTCATGCCTTTATGAAGTATGATTAAAATTACAGTGAAGTTGCGTGTGGTAGCGCATGCTTGTATTCCCAGCGCTCAGGAGGCTAAGACAAGAGGAACGCTGCAAGTTTGAGACCACCCTTGGCTATATAATGATATCCAGGCCAGCCTGAACCACATACAGTCCCTGTCTCAAAACAAACAAAAAAGCATAGTGAATGCTGCTGCCCAGTACCATCCAAGGGAGAGACAGACTCATAAAAATACTAGTGTATCCTCATCAAACATTCCCTGGATCTGGCACCACACAACTTCTGGCTCTTTCTCAAAGTCAAAATGACCATGAAAGATAACATTCTGAAATGATGCAGGACATCAAGGCAGCTACAACAGTGCCACTAAGGATGCTCATGAAAAGGCCTTCTGCAACTGCTTCAGGAACTGTCAAGAAAATGGGATAAATATGTTTGAGTGAAGGGAAGTATTTTAAAGGGACTAAGGGCAATGTGTATTTTATTGTAATAATTTAAAAAATAAACATTTACCATATATATTTTTTTTTTGGTACCAGGGATCGAATACCATATTTTTAATCATACCACATATTGTTTAACAGGCTCACAGTTTCCGTTTTGCAAGATGAAAAAGTTCTGAAGATGGGTATCAGTTGCACAACAATGTTAATGAACTTACTGCTAGTAAACTGTACACTTAAATATGGCTAACATGGTAAATTTTAAATTATGTATAATTTACTATAATTTTAAAATGTATATATTGTTGAGTCTATAACAAACTAAATGTAATATATTTGCCAATAACAAAGCTGCATTAGGCTAAGGAATAGACTCCACATGGTAGATTATATCCACAGGAATAAATGAAGAGATCAAGAAATGATAAATAAGAAGGCAACAATAACCAAAGCTGCAAATACACTTTCTCTCTTTTCTCAACTTTTTAAAGAGATATAAAATCATATAATGTAACCACAGCCAGACTGAGGCAGGAAGATTGCAAGCTTAAGCCCAGCTGGTCAACTTTAGTGAGTTCCTGTCTCAAAAAATAAAAAGGGGCCGAAGGGTTAGCTCAGTGGTTCCACCACCTGCCTAGCAAGCTCAAGGTCCCAAGTTCGATCCCCAGTACCAAATAAAATAAAATCAAGTAAAAAGGGCTGGGTGTAGTTTTAGTGCAGAGGCCCTGGGTCATAAAAAAAAAAAAAAAAAAAAAAAAAAAAAACTCCTCTCAGTGATAACAGAATGTAAAATTTCAAGTGCTCATGA